ATAATTATCAGCATGTGATTTCTAACCATGTTTTCGAATTTGCCAATGATCATATTACATGTCACAAAAACAAATTTCATGCTGAAAATGCATTTTAAAGACAACCAGTCATTTAAATCCACAATAGTCACTATATCCATGAAATCCTCCCTGGCCATTCGAAGCTGCGGCTTCATTTAGTGTGGTGTGCTGCCTTAAGGAGCACCTTAACATTGATTGCTGAACTTTATACAGACTTTTTCTGCAAATTTATGCATATTTCAATAAATAAAATGATTTAATTTTGCTAGGAATTGTTTGCTTTTCTTTATATGTGCCTTTAATGAACTATACCGTTTGCCCCATTTTCAGCCCTCGGCACGCTGTTTTTAGTACATGTTGAAAAAGAAAGAATTCCCAATGTAAGGTGTAGAAAAAATGGGTTCCATACTATCTATACAACTAATTTGCACAAATATATCCTTATGTCATATGATATGGAAGAAATATTCAACAAATTGCCATACAGTTTAAGAATAAACTGGCTTCATGTGACACTGTGGGGGGGGGCACAAAATATATCAGATATGTTCCTGCCAGACACTAATATATGCTATTTTTTTCAGTCCTACACAGTAGAAAATCTATTTGGCATGCACAATGTTCATATAGGTTTATGTGTAAAGTCAAAAACAAAGAGACAAAGCATTTGTCAGGGCCTTCACAGCATTATAGACATCACAATGTGGGTCTCCTAGGGAATCGAAATTCACCAAGTGACAGTGCAAAAACCAAATTTTCCGACTAGTCGATCTTGCTCGCTCAGCTTTAAAATGGTCACAATCTCACCAGAAAACCTAGATTATATATCCACTTGCCCTTAAAAGTGATTTCCAGCAAAAATTTACCTCCATACAATGATTTTGCATCACTCGAAACACTTCGGATGGCCATGTTTCACACATACAGCTGAAATTCATTAAATGCATGCCTTTTTCCTAAATTTAAAGTCACAAAAAGCAGGAAAACAACATCTAATTTAACCTTCATAGCTCTATATGTGAAAATTAGCATTCTTCTAAAGCTGTATCTCCTAGAATAAGTAGGTGTAATCAACACAGCAGACACAGCACCTTTAATACATTTCACAAAGAATTTCTGGAATTTGAGTTACCTCCCCTTTTTAAAGCTGACTTTCTGACACTGTGTTTAATATTATTATGAAATTTCATCATCATTGTAGTCAGTGTGTATTCTAAAGTATTTACACAAAGTTTAATGAGAAAAAACAAGCATTGAAAAAATTTCATTTTACCTTAAGGTAGCACTCCACACTAAATTTCAAGTTTCTGCCGTCAATGTCCTACAAGCAATATGTCTGATAAATCTGATCCCAAACTACACAACCTGGAAAAAGAAAACACATTTTGTTAAGAACATATATGTCATACCATTGCAAATCTGTAATGAAATCATCCCATGTGCAACAGTCAGGCAGTTTAAAAAATTCCAATTCATTCCGTAAAAGCCAAAAATCTATAGTGGTCCAAGACCCAAAACAACATTTTTCGTCCCTCCGGCAAAAAATACCTGCAAATATACGGTCTACAAAAACTCTGTCACTGCTTTAGCAACTCCCTAGGCATGCAAAATATCACAAAGAAATAGGTGCTTGGCCTTGTAGATTTTTTGCTATTGCTGAAAGTTTGTACCCCCGTGTAAAATTACTTGTTTTCACCGAGCATGCTGTTTAAAAGCAATGTTTACAAACAATGGCGACCTTGACATCAATAATTATCAGCATGTGATTTCTAATCATGTTTTCGAATTTGCCAATGATCATATTACATGTCACAAAAACAAATTTCATGCTAAAATGCATTTTAAAGACAACCAGTCATTTAAATCCACAATAGTCACTATATCCATGAAATCCTCCCTGGCCATTCGAAGCTGCGGCTTCATTTAGTGTGGTGTGCTGCCTTAAGGTAGCACTCCACACTAAATTTCAAGTTTCTGCCGTCAATGTCCTACAAGCAATATGTCTGATAAATCTGATCCCAAACTACACAACCTGGAAAAAAGAAAAACACATTTTGTTAAGAACATATATGTCATACCATTGCAAATCTGTAATGAAATCATCCCATGTTCAACAGTCAGGCAGTTAAAAAAATTCCAATTCATTCCGTAAAAGCCAAAAAATCTATAGTGGTCCGAGACCCAAAACAACATTTTTCATCCCTCCGGCAAAAAATACCTGCAAATATACGGTCTACAAAAACTCTGTCACTGCTTTAGCAACTCCCTATGCATGCAAAATATCACAAAGAAATAGGTGCTTGGCCTTGTAGATTTTTTTGCTATTGCTGAAAGTTTGTACCCCCCTGTAAAATTACTTGTTTTCACCGAGCATGCTGTTTTAAAAGCAATGTTTACAAACAATGGCGACCTTGACATCAATAATTATCAGCATGTGATTTCTAATCATGTTTTCGAATTTGCCAATGATCATATTACATGTCACAAAAACAAATTTCATGCTAAAAATGCATTTTAAAGACAACCAGTCATTTTAAATCCACAATGTCACTAATATCCATGAAATCCTCCCTGGCCATTCGAAGCTGCGGCTTCATTTAGTGTGGTGTGCTGCCTTTAGCACTCCACACTAAATTTGTTTCTGCCGTCAATGTCCTACAACAATATGTCTGATAAATCTGATCCCAAACTACACAACCTGGAAAAAGAAAACACATTTTGTTAAGAACATATATGTCATACCATTGCAAATCTGTAATGAAATCATCCCATGTTCAACAGTCAGGCAGTTAAAAAAATTCCAATTCATTCCGTAAAAGCCAAAAATCTATAGTGGTCCGAGACCCAAAACAACATTTTTCATCCCTCCGGCAAAAAATACCTGCAAATATACGGTCTACAAAAACTCTGTCACTGCTTTAGCAACTCCCTATGCATGCAAAATATCACAAAGAAATAGGTGCTTGGCCTTGTAGATTTTTTGCTATTGCTGAAAGTTTGTACCCCCCTGTAAAATTACTTGTTTTCACCGAGCATGCTGTTTAAAAGCAATGTTTACAAACAATGGCGACCTTGACATCAATAATTATCAGCATGTGATTTCTAATCATGTTTTCGAATTTGCCAATGATCATATTACATGTCACAAAAACAAATTTCATGCTAAAAATGCATTTTAAAGACAACCAGTCATTTAAATCCACAATAGTCACTATATCCATGAAATCCTCCCTGGCCATTCGAAGCTGCGGCTTCATTTAGTGTGGTGTGCTGCCTTAAGGTAGCACTCCACACTAAATTTCAAGTTTCTGCCGTCAATGTCCTACAAGCAATATGTCTGATAAATCTGATCCCAAACTACACAACCTGGAAAAAGAAAACACATTTTGTTAAGAACATATATGTCATACCATTGCAAATCTGTAATGAAATCATCCCATGTTCAACAGTCAGGCAGTTAAAAAAATTCCAATTCATTCCGTAAAAGCCAAAAATCTATAGTGGTCCGAGACCCAAAACAACATTTTTCATCCCTCCGGCAAAAAATACCTGCAAATATACGGTCTACAAAAACTCTGTCACTGCTTTAGCAACTCCCTATGCATGCAAAATATCACAAAGAAATAGGTGCTTGGCCTTGTAGATTTTTTGCTATTGCTGAAAGTTTGTACCCCCCTGTAAAATTACTTGTTTTCACCGAGCATGCTGTTTAAAAGCAATGTTTACAAACAATGGCGACCTTGACATCAATAATTATCAGCATGTGATTTCTAATCATGTTTTCGAATTTGCCAATGATCATATTACATGTCACAAAAACAAATTTCATGCTAAAAATGCATTTTAAAGACAACCAGTCATTTAAATCCACAATAGTCACTATATCCATGAAATCCTCCCTGGCCATTCGAAGCTGCGGCTTCATTTAGTGTGGTGTGGTAGCACTCCACACTAAATTTCAAGTTTCTGCCGTCAATGTCCTACAAGCAATATGTCTGATAAATCTGATCCCAAACTACACAACCTGGAAAAAGAAAACACATTTTGTTAAGAACATATATGTCATACCATTGCAAATCTGTAATGAAATCATCCCATGTTCAACAGTCAGGCAGTTAAAAAAATTCCAATTCATTCCGTAAAAGCCAAAAATCTATAGTGGTCCGAGACCCAAAACAACATTTTTCATCCCTCCGGCAAAAAATACCTGCAAATATACGGTCTACAAAAACTCTGTCACTGCTTTAGCAACTCCCTATGCATGCAAAATATCACAAAGAAATAGGTGCTTGGCCTTGTAGATTTTTTGCTATTGCTGAAAGTTTGTACCCCCCTGTAAAATTACTTGTTTTCACCGAGCATGCTGTTTAAAAGCAATGTTTACAAACAATGGCGACCTTGACATCAATAATTATCAGCATGTGATTTCTAATCATGTTTTCGAATTTGCCAATGATCATATTACATGTCACAAAAACAAATTTCATGCTAAAAATGCATTTTAAAGACAACCAGTCATTTAAATCCACAATAGTCACTATATCCATGAAATCCTCCCTGGCCATTCGAAGCTGCGGCTTCATTTAGTGTGGTGTGCTGCCTTAAGGAGCACCTTAACATTGATTGCTGAACTTTATACAGACTTTTTCTGCAAATTTATGCATATTTCAAGAAATAAAATGATTTAATTTTGCTAGGAATTGTTTGCTTTTCTTTATATGTGCCTTTAATGAACTATACCGTTTACCCCATTTTCAGCCCTCGGCACGCTGTTTTTAGTACATGTTGAAAAAGAAAGAATTCCCAATGTAAGGTGTAGACAAAATGGGTTCCATACTATCTATACAACTAATTTGCACAAATATATCCTTATGTCATATGATATGGAAGAAATATTCAACAAATTGCCATACAGTTTAAGAATAAACTGGCTTCATGTGACACTGTGGGGGGGGGGGCACAAAATATATCAGATATGTTCCTGCCAGACACTAATATATGCTATTTTTTCAGTCCTACACAGTAGAAAATCTATTTGGCATGCACAATGTTCATATAGGTTTATGTGTAAAGTCAAAAACAAAGAGACAAAGCATTTGTCAGGGCCTTCACAGCATTATAGACATCACAATGTGGGTCTCCTAGGGAATCGAAATTCACCAAGTGACAGTGCAAAAACCAAATTTTCCGACTAGTCGATCTTGCTCGCTCAGCTTTAAAATGGTCACAATCTCACCAGAAAACCTAGATTATATATCCACTTGCCCTTAAAAGTGATTTCCAGCAAAAATTTACCTCCATACAATGATTTTGCATCACTCGAAACACTTCGGATGGCCATGTTTCACACATACAGCTGAAATTCATTAAATGCATGCCTTTTTCCTAAATTTAAAGTCACAAAAAGCAGGAAAACAACATCTAATTTAACCTTCATAGCTCTATATGTGAAAATTAGCATTCTTCTAAAGCTGTATCTCCTAGAATAAGTAGGTGTAATCAACACAGCAGACACAGCACCTTTAATACATTTCACAAAGAATTTCTGGAATTTGAGTTACCTCCCCTTTTTAAAGCTGACTTTCTGACACTGTGTTTAATATTATTATGAAATTTCATCATCATTGTAGTCAGTGTGTATTCTAGAGTATTTACACAAAGTTTAATAAGAAAAAACAAGCATTGAAAAAATTTCATTTTACCTTAAGGTAGCACTCCACACTAAATTTCAAGTTTCTGCCGTCAATGTCCTACAAGCAATATGTCTGATAAATCTGATCCCAAACTACACAACCTGGAAAAAGAAAACACATTTTGTTAAGAACATATATGTCATACCATTGCAAATCTGTAATGAAATCATCCCATGTTCAACAGTCAGGCAGTTAAAAAAATTCCAATTCATTCCGTAAAAGCCAAAAATCTATAGTGGTCCGAGACCCAAAACAACATTTTTCATCCCTCCGGCAAAAAAATACCTGCAACTATACGGTCTACAAAAACTCTGTCACTGCTTTAGCAACTCCCTATGCATGCAAAATATCACAAAGAAATAGGTGCTTGGCCTTGTAGATTTTTTGCTATTGCTGAAAGTTTGTACCCCCCTGTAAAATTACTTGTTTTCACCGAGCATGCTGTTTAAAAGCAATGTTTACAAACAATGGCGACCTTGACATCAATAATTATCAGCATGTGATTTCTAATCATGTTTTCGAATTTGCCAATGATCATATTACATGTCACAAAAACAAATTTCATGCTAAAAATGCATTTTAAAGACAACCAGTCATTTAAATCCACAATAGTCACTATATCCATGAAATCCTCCCTGGCCATTCGAAGCTGCGGCTTCATTTAGTGTGGTGTGTGCCTTAAGGTAGCACTCCACACTAAATTTCAAGTTTCTGCCGTCAATGTCCTACAAGCAATATGTCTGATAAATCTGATCCCAAACTACACAACCTGGAAAAAGAAAACACATTTTGTTAAGAACATATATGTCATACCATTGCAAATCTGTAATGAAATCATCCCATGTTCAACAGTCAGGCAGTTAAAAAAATTCCAATTCATTCCGTAAAAGCCAAAAATCTATAGTGGTCCGAGACCCAAAACAACATTTTTCATCCCTCCGGCAAAAAATACCTGCAAATATACGGTCTACAAAAACTCTGTCACTGCTTTAGCAACTCCCTATGCATGCAAAATATCACAAAGAAATAGGTGCTTGGCCTTGTAGATTTTTTGCTATTGCTGAAAGTTTGTACCCCCCTGTAAAATTACTTGTTTTCACCGAGCATGCTGTTTAAAAGCAATGTTTACAAACAATGGCGACCTTGACATCAATAATTATCAGCATGTGATTTCTAATCATGTTTTCGAATTTGCCAATGATCATATTACATGTCACAAAAACAAATTTCATGCTAAAAATGCATTTTAAAGACAACCAGTCATTTAAATCCACAATAGTCACTATATCCATGAAATCCTCCCTGGCCATTCGAAGCTGCGGCTTCATTTAGTGTGGTGTGCTGCCTTAAGGTAGCACTCCACACTAAATTTCAAGTTTCTGCCGTCAATGTCCTACAAGCAATATGTCTGATAAATCTGATCCCAAACTACACAACCTGGAAAAAGAAAACACATTTTGTTAAGAACATATATGTCATACCATTGCAAATCTGTAATGAAATCATCCCATGTTCAACAGTCAGGCAGTTAAAAAAATTCCAATTCATTCCGTAAAAGCCAAAAATCTATAGTGGTCCGAGACCCAAAACAACATTTTTCATCCCTCCGGCAAAAAATACCTGCAAATATACGGTCTACAAAAACTCTGTCACTGCTTTAGCAACTCCCTATGCATGCAAAATATCACAAAGAAATAGGTGCTTGGCCTTGTAGATTTTTTGCTATTGCTGAAAGTTTGTACCCCCCTGTAAAATTACTTGTTTTCACCGAGCATGCTGTTTAAAAGCAATGTTTACAAACAATGGCGACCTTGACATCAATAATTATCAGCATGTGATTTCTAATCATGTTTTCGAATTTGCCAATGATCATATTACATGTCACAAAAACAAATTTCATGCTAAAAATGCATTTTAAAGACAACCAGTCATTTAAATCCACAATAGTCACTATATCCATGAAATCCTCCCTGGCCATTCGAAGCTGCGGCTTCATTTAGTGTGGTGTGCTGCCTAAGTCAATAAAAGGCGGATACATACACTGTACCTTACACAGTGCAAGATTAATTCTGAACTTCTTGTGTATCGAGGTGTGATTTGTTTCTCAATTGATGTGCATGTAAAATTTTATTTGATATTAAGTTCCAATCTGCTTCTTTTTACAAACACCAGAGCTATACACAGTTGTTGGTAAATGTAATTACACTATTACAGTTTTGAAGAATTGATATATTATCTTCAGACTGTTAAGATGATGCATGCATTTTTTCAACGTTAAAGGTGGCATTTTTCAATTCACTTTTATCATGTTCAAATTTAATAATTTGTGGGTCTAGATATTAGTAGAGTTATGGTAAAAAATAAATATGTTTGTATGTTCATAAAACACCAGAATATGATTTCACTTTCATAAAACACTAAATTATGCTGTATTTTAAAAGTGTTTTCTTTTCTTAAAATGTTATTCGAGTTCTTCACATCACATTCTGTGCGTTTAGGTTTATTACTATAACGGTGAAAAACAGTTATCATATAATGTTAATTATCTTAAGTCAAACAGGCTTGCAAATATTAAAATTTCAACAAATTTACTAACTGTCAGCGTAACACAGTAGGTAAGGTTGTCTGGTAAATTTCTAGGTAAATATGACAGCCAGGTCCGGAATGTACCTTTTTCCAAAGGTATTTCTGTATAATGATTAATCAAGTAAGAATAGTTTGTGTTCGTTCTTGTAAAGATTATGTAAACTGCGTTATTTTCTATTAACGTCTCAATTTCACTTTTTCTTTTGTTTTAAATGTAACCATATTTAGCACGTTGGTGCAACCTTATACGGAATGCATACATGTGCAACCTTATACGGAATGCATAATTGTACACAACTTGTTTCAACTATAGTGAATTTTGCACGAAATACTCGTGCACTGCAAATGTACTATGACTACTACATACTACACACAACGTAGGATAAAACTCATTATTTCCAGTATATCTAAAGAAAATTAAACGAAATTGCCTTTGTATTCTAATTCATTTGCATCTAATGTAAAAAATAAACACTAAATTTGGAACGAAAAACGAAAAACAACGTTAAACAATTAGTGAGGCTCGAACTCGTGATAATATTTAAGTTGTATTGATTTCTATTGACTTACTAGCTTTGACATGAAGACATTTCAAATTATATTTTCATATTACATTATATTCGCTTTTAAAAATACCGTTTTACCTATAAAGACGCAGGTTGCAATCTTTATTGTACACACAAATGTAACGTCACTCACACATTATTATAGCTGCAAAGTAACCTCCTGTGTTCAAAACACACAATTATATTTATTTACGCTTGAAACTGAATTGTGGAAGTACAAGTTCATGCACAGCCTATAAGTTCATGTAGGTGGATCTGTTTTCGGATATGCACGATCGAAACGACATTAACGTTTTCATATGTAAGAAACATTTAATTTCTCTTTCACCATGTTTCCCCCCGCAAATAATTTTATACTGATTTTAAAATATCATTATTAAGCCCAAATCACGAGACAAGCAATAATGGTGACGAATTTATCCGGCTCTCAATTACTTATGACAAATAAGTGTTTGATTTGTTCAAATCATATAGATTCTAAAATTAATAATTTTCATCTATTTATGCACATTAATGACATATCTATATAACCGCCAACGTTGGTTTATCAATTGTAATTAATTTCCTTATTTTTTTAGAGCTTACACAGCTAGTTTCCTTACGTTGTTTTTCGGATTTAAAGTGCCTTTCGGTAACCCGTCGAAATTTCGAATTGAGTATACTTCTGTTACCTAATTAATTGCTTTAAACCTAAAATACCATTGCTAAATAAATTCTGTTTCATCCCAAACCGACATTCATAATACACAATGATAAAAACGAATTGAAGCGAACATTTTTTGATACATGTACAAATTAAATCATAAGAATCAGTATATGTTTTGTATGTGGTGGCGTCTTCGAATTTTGCTCATGGATTTAATAGTGGATTTGTATGGAATTATTGTGAAACATTATTTTGGATAAGTCAATATAGGTAAGAAATACAATTAAAACTAATTATCATTCTTAACAATTATATATCACTTTCAATAGTAAAATATTACATAACTTGAAACAATATAACAATAAACGATGACTATTGACATTCTTGCATTCGTGAAAAAGGGAAATTGTTTGACTGATTCAGACTTTGGTCAAAGAGTAATTGGTCAAACTTTTTCAACGTCCAGAGCTAGTTTCTGTGGTACGTTTTGTTCTTGGTCGAAAAATCGCTTCTAAGTTGTAGAAGAAAGATATTACCATAGAAAAGAGCACAATACACCAACTCGTAATACAGTTTGTTAAAATAACCTTGCATAACTTTGAATTTGAACAAGTAATAATTTTCATTATTACATCATCAAACAGGCACTTCAAACATTTCTTCATAAATACAGAAATCCGAAATAATTTTTGCAAGAAAAGCAGATTTACCTCGGCCTAGTATCTTTTTTTAGGGATACTTTTTGTTTAATGTTTAATATCACCTTACATATCATCATCTGCATTTATGTTATGTTCGTTTTTTTTCGGATCAATAAAACTAAGTACACTTATAGTATTTGATCGGTTCGATACAACAATAAGAGCGTTTTTATTTCTATCGTATTGCAAATTGAAAGGATTCCTCCAACCAAGCGTTTCATCATGTAACTCTCCGATAAGTTTCCCCTCCTTGTTGAACATTACAATGATGTTAGAGATGAATCCACATACAAACACGGTACCGTCAGATACAAATACACCACGGGAGTTCTTCAATCATTTGTCCCTCATTTCCCACAAGACGTGACCATCCTTGTTAAGACAGAATACTCCATCAGAATTGTCTGCACCAATCACTGTTTTACCAGTCACAGCCATATGCACAGGCGTGTATTTAAATAGGTTCTTGTCATTTTTGTATCTGTCAATAGATTTGACTAAAGCTCCCCTAGTAGTATATACTACATATATATATACTGTACCTCTTGATAACCAGAGACCTCCATTAAAATATGCCATGCCGTAAAATCCTCCGCCATTTATTGAAATACATCTTGTTTTGACAGATATGATACAACAGATATGAATTGGACTTTGTTGTTTACTGTTTTAACAGCAATTTCATTGCTACTGACACAACATATTCCGGTTGGTGCGGAATATAGTTCGCAGCTGTCATTTACAATGTAGTCTACGTCAAGCATTTTAACATTTTCATTATCTTCGTCGGTCAGTAAGATTCGTCCATCTGGGAGCTGACAAATATCTGATAGCGTACAAGTATATTTGTCTCTGTCAAGTTGTACATTGATAACATAATTTGCATCTAATTTGGACCTTATAAGCTTTGCTAGTCATAACAATTCATCAACACAACCAAAAGAATCTACACTGGACACAGATTCTTCAAATGAAGGATTGTCTTTAAAGTAGACAGAATATGTGCCATTTGAAACATATTCTTTGTGAAACATTTTAGCATATTCGATATACTTCTTTGCGAATTTTGAATGAATAAACTGCTGTCTCTTACTTAAATTATCTATGGATAGCAAAATCCTATTAGTTTTCCTTAATGTTTCAATTAAATAAAATGTAGCTTTGATTACAGATTCAAGCTCACCTTTTGTCAGATCGTATTTGTGGATCACAGATTCTAATGTTTGTTGGTTCATCTTTTTGGCATGCAGGATCATTCTATCCTCAGTATTATCTAAGTGTTTGTATATCGTACATATCTGCTCTTTAAGTAAAGACTTGTTTTTCTTTTGTTTCAGTGTTTCATCGGTTAAGATTTTCTCGACATACTTGACTTCACGAAACAAACGATGAGCATCTGTTTTATTTACGCAGGATTTCAACTCATGTTCAATATTGTTTACTTGTTCACAAGTTCTGAAAGAAGATGATATTGATATGTTGATGAATGATAAATGTACTACCAGTCTGTATCACCTAAGTAAGAAATGAACTCTAAAACATCAGACTGAAGAAAATTACATCTGTATCAATCGCTTATTTAAGAAAATTGAACTTAAGATAATTCCAATTCAATATGCTTTAAATTAAGATGCCCTTTTAAATATCATGCCATTTCAATGTCATTTAGTGAACTTATCGTTTGATTAATCTTGATTATATTAACGGACATATATTAAGAGTATTAAATAAATCATTTTAGGAAAACATTTAATGATTAATATGTATTGCATGCTATAAATCTGATC